AAAAAAAAAAAAAAAAGGAAAAAAAAAAAGAACAAATTTTAAAAAATTAAAAAAAGAGAAAAATATGAACCACTTGGCTGTGGCAAAAACGGATTGGCCTGGTGGAGTGTGATTTAATTCCAAATTTGAACGAGTGATGCTGGGTAGTGGGGTAACGAGGTTTTGTGGTGTACTTCTAGCTTCAGGCAACACTATCTCTGGCGTTGGTGTCTGGGTTTGCAGGTAAAGAATGTTAGTGAAATCCAAATATAAGGTGATGGAGGAAACATAGACAGAGGAAATGAGGCAAGAACTGGAAGAAACTGAAGGGGATCCTGACCTCCTTGACTTCATCATGAGGGACTCTCTGAAATACTTTTATAAAAGGCCTAAGAAAAACCAGTTTCTCTAATGAATTAACTTCTGTGTAAGCTGGAATCCAAGGGAGAAGGCTGATTTATTTCTAGAACGACATTCCTGAGGATAAGTAGGTAGTGGTGACAGACTCCACAGGGAACAAAGGGACTTTAGTCCAACATGTTGGATTCAACACAGGAGAGGAGTGGAAAGAGTTAGATGACTTCATATATTTAATGCCTTATCCTGTGGCTCAAGGCGGGTACCAAATGCATTTTTCTGTGACCAGAGAGGATTAAAACTAACTTTTCCATGGATAATTATGGGGATTCATCAGTTAACTAATTATTTCATTCATTTCATCAGACATAAATGACATTCTTTGCCCTTAGGAATTTATAAAGCAACATTATTATTGACCATTTCTCCCCAAAGTCTCATCTGTCCCATTATTATGTTTTAGGTTAGTATAATGATAAATATAAAGACACTGCCAAACATTCCTTGTAAATAAAGAGAAGCATCCTTAAAAAAATAATGTGAATATTATTTTGTCACTGGCAAAACAAAAAGTAATTCAATTTTTCCAAGGTTGTTGCCTGGACTTTGACTTAGGCAACAAGGATGGAAATGACTTAGTGGCTTCTCTTCAGTGAGGTAGTTACTAAAGCACACAGGGCAGTTATAGAACTAAAGAAATGGAATTAAGCAAAGGAGCTCTGGAAGTAGAGAGGATAAAATTACTTAGAGTTCAAATGATAAAATTTTGGAGAAGAGAAAATAAGTGTAAAGGGTAGAAGATTAGAAACTCCTACTATAGGTGATATAGTGGGGAAAATACAGTTGTAAGTTATTAAGAATCTGGAAATAAGAAAAATAGGGGTTTCCTCAGATAGTTAAACTATAAAATCGACACAGAATGGTCAGGTCAATGAAAACCAGTTCCCTTAAGAAGGGAGGATGTCTAATTGACCTGAGCAAGACTTGGAATAGCCTTATTGATGGTATTGGCATATCTAGAGGATGAATGTGTCTACTAGAAGGGGAAAGATCTGGTCAGAAATGAGCACAGAGAATTGCTTTTGCTATTCTGGGTCTTTTATTTTTCCAGATGAATTTCATGATTGCTTTATCTATTTCTACAAGAAATGCCTTTGGGATTTTGATTGGCATTGCATTAAACCTATAGAGAACTTTTGGTAATATCGCCATTTTGATGATATTAGTTCTGCCTATCCATAAACAGGGTATATTTTTCCATCTTCTAAGATCTTCTTCTATTTCTTTCTTTAGGGTTCTGTAGTTTTCATTGTATAAATCTTTCACCTCTTTTGTTAGGTTGATTCCCAAGTATTTTATTTTGAGGATATTGTGAATGGGGTGGTTGTCCTCATTTCCATTTCAGAAGATTTGTCGCTGATGTACAGGAATGCCTTTGATTTATGCGTGTTGATTTTATATCCTGCACTTTGCTGAATTCATTTATTAGCTCTAGTAGTTTCTTTGTAGAACCTTTTGGGTCTTCTAGGTATAGGATCATGTCATCCGCAAATAGTGATAATTTAAGTTCTTCTTTTCCTATCTTTATGCCTTTAATTTCTTTCATCTAATTGCTCTGAAACATGCAGTATAGCGATACCAGACTTCAAACTATACTACAGAGCAATAGTAACAAAAACAGCATGGTACTGGTACCAAAACAGGCGGGTGGACCAATGGTACAGAATAGAGGACACAGAGACCAATCCACAAAATTACAACTATCTTATATTTGACAAAGGTGCTAAAAGCATGCAATGGAGAAAGGATAGCATCTTCAACAAATGGTGCTGGGAAAACTGGAAATCCATATGCAACAAAATGAATCTGAATCCCTTTCTCTCGCCATGCACAAAAGTTAATTCAAAATGGATCAAGGAGCTTGATATCAAAACAGAGACTCTGCGTCTGATAGAAGAAAAAGTTGGCTCTAATCTACATATTGTGGGGTTGGGCTCCAAATTCCTTAATAGGACACCCATAGCATAAGAGTTAAAAACAAGAATAAACAAATGGGACTTACTCAAACTAAAAAGTTTTTTCTTAGCAAGAGAAACAATAAGAGAGATAAATAGGGAGCCTATATCCTGGGAACAAATTTTTACTCCTCACACTTCAGATAGAGCCCTAATATCCAGAGTATACAAAGAACTCAAAAAATTAAACAATAAGATAACAAACAACCCAATCAACAAATGGGCCAAGGACCTGAACAGACACTTCTCAGAGGAGGACATACAATCAATCAACAAGTACACGAAAAAATGCTCACCATCTCTAGCAGTCAGAGAAATGCAAATTAAAACCACCCTAAGATACTATCTCACTCCAGTAAGAATGGCAGCCATTATGAAGTCAAACAACAAGTGCTGGCGAGGATGTGGGGAAAAGGGTATACTTGTACATTGCTGGTGGGACTGCAAATTGGTGCGGCCAATTTGGAAAGCAGTATGGAGATTTCTCGGAAAGCTGGGAATAGAACCACCATTTGACCCAGCTATTCCCCTTCTTGGACTATTCCCCAAAGACCTTAAAAGAGCATATTATAGGGATACAGCTATATAGATGTTCATAGCAGCACAATTCACAATAGCTAGACTGTGGAACCAACCTAGATGCCCTTCAATAGATGAATGGATAAAAAAAAATGTGGCATTTATACACAATGGAGTATTACTCAGCACTAAAAAATGACAAAATCATGGCATTTGCAGGGAAATGGATGGCACTAGAGCAGACTATGCTAAGTGAAGCTAGCCAATCCCTAAAAAACAAATGCCAAATGTCTTCTTTGATATAAGGAGGGCAACTAAGAACAGAGCAGGGAGGAAGAGCATGAGAAGAAGATGACCATTAAACAGGGACGAGAGGTGGGAGGGAAAGGGAGAGAGAAGGGAAATTGCATGGAAATGGAAAGAGACCCTCACTGTTATACAAAATTACATATAAGAGGAAGTGAGGGGAAAGGAAAAAAAAAACAAGAGAGAGAAATGAATTACAGTAGATGGGGTAGAGAGAGAAGATGGGAGGGGAGGGGAGGAGAGGGGGGATAGTAGAGGATAGGAAGGGCAGCAGAATACAACATACACTAGTATGGCAGTATGTAAAAACGTGGATGTGTAACCGATATGATTCTGCAATCTGTATACGGGGTAAAAATGGGAGTTCATAATCCACTTGAATCAAATGTATGAAATATGATATGTCAAGAGCTTTAAAATGTTTTGAAGAACTAATAATAATAATAAAAAATAAAGAAATGAGCACAGAGAAGAGGAGCAGCAGGCCCCTTCAAGTGTGGCTCAGAGATCTACAGGCTCAGGAATGTGTCCCAATGGCAGGGATTGTGTGTTACCTCTGCTCTTCTTGGTGATTATTGAGGTCATGGTTCTTTTCTCCAAAATATCCTGACTTGGGCCAGAATATTAGTCTTGAGCTTGGGAAGGAGAGTACATCTCTGAGAGGGTGCTGACAAAGTCAACTTTATAAAGAACCCGTGCAGAATACAGCCCCTGAATGAAGGGAAATGTTGTATTTCTCAGATGAGCCAGGCAATTAGACACCCACCAAAATTCCTGAGGTTCTTTCTAACTT